AAAATAGACAGTGGTAATATCATCTTATCACCTTTTAAATGCCTCAAGCCATTCTTCTCCTTTTCTTTACTTTTCTCCTCCCCTCCCCCTCCCCCTCCTCCTCCTCTTCCTCTTCCTCTTCCTCTTCCTCTTCCTCTTCCTCTTCCTATTCCTCTTCATCTTCTTCTTCTTCTTCTTCTTCTTCTTCTTCTTCTTCTTCTTCTTCTTCTTCTTCTTCTTCCCCTTCTTCTTGAAGGTCTTTTTACTGTGATCCTCCTGCTTCAGCCTCCTGAGTACTGAGATTTCTGGCATATGCCACTCCTCCTGACTTTAACCTAAAAATGTTTTATATATAACATGCTCTGTGAGATAACCAGGTGACTATCCAGAGCCTGAAAATTTTTTTTTAATTTTTTTATGGTATGCATGTATTGCCTGCATGTAGGTAAGTGTCACGCAATGCCCACAGAAGACAGATGAGGCTGTCAGATCCCCTGGAACTGGAGTTATGGACAGTTGTTAGCTGCCATGTGGGTGCTGGGATTCAAACCTGGGTCTTCTGCAAGAACAGTGTTCTTAACCGCTGAGCCCTCTGTCAAGCCCCTTAAAATTTTTTTATTTATTATTTTTATGTGTATGAGTGTATTGCCTGCATGTATATGGGTACACCTGTGTCATGCAATGCCTCAGAGGTTAGAAGAGGGCTTCAGATTCCCCTGGAACTGGCGTTAAGGACGGTTTATAGCTGCCATGTGGTGCTGGGGATCGGACCCAGGTCCTCTGCAAGAGCAGTCAGTGCTCTTAACCGCTGATCCATCTCTCCGGTATCCCTGAAAATGTTTTTAACATGAGATGATTTGGATGATAGACACCCACAGGTGCATTACTGTTACTTTTTAAATTTTTAAATTTTTAAATTTTTTTATTTTATGTGTATACGTGTATTGCCTGCATGGAGGTGAGTACACCCGTGTGATGCAATGCCCACGGAGGTCAGAAGAGGCTGTTGGATCCCCTGGGACTGGAGTTACAGACAGTCGTTAGCTGCTATGTGGGTGCTGGGATTCGAACCTGGGTCTTCTGCAAGACAAACCAGTTTTATTAACCACTGAACCAGCCTTCCAGTCCCATTGTTATTTTTTTTTTTTAATTTTGTGAATGTTATTTTTTTTAAATCGGCAAATTACTTTTAAATATAGTAAAATTTAAAATACGGTTTTTTTTCCCCCTAAAGTAAAGCTTATTTGTAGAAAATTATGGCTCCTGTAAACTCTGCTCAGCGTTAGATGTCCTTCACTTCTAAAGGAGCATGGCGGCAGGATGATTCTTGCTGTGGAAAAAACAAAGCACGTGGCGGATGCTTATTCTCTTAGCCCCCACTTTAGTGCAATAGTAAACAAGGTGATTTGGGGAAGTGTGAAGTCGGGATGGGTTCAGTGTAAGTGTATGGTCATTTTGCAAACTTCTTAACCTTCCTGGGTCCCCATTCCTTGCCTTGCTCCAATGCCCCCATACATGCTTCATAGATGTTCTGCCCTCAGCAGTTAATTACTTTAACCATGTGTTTATTTAGTTTCTATTAGCCGTATATCTACATTGCTCAGACTGTAAAGATATACAGGGGAATTCATTGCTTCCTGCCTCCCACCTGCTCTTCTCTGAGCATCCCTGTCCCAGTTCCCAGTTTTATTTTGCAAAGTCAGAAATCCCAAGAGGCGATTAACAAATGGAAAGCCAGATGCGTCAATGTAATCAAAGAGAGGGGTTTGTTCTATAGCAGTGCAGTTGAAGGTGCTGTTGTGCGCTCTTCATAGCCTCCCGCCCAAAGCCTCCCTTTTTTAAGACTGAACTGTAGCTCAGCCAAACTACTCGTTTCACAGCACCTGGTCTAGAAATTTTGACTTTGAGTTGGCTTCTGTGCAAAAACAGTTCCACAATCTTTTCTGCCTGTAATTTTTCGTAAGCAATTTAATTTTGTCATATTTATTATTTAAATTTTTGACCTTTCCCTGAGTTAGCTTTTGGACTGCTTTGAGATATTCACAGCTAGGGCCAGGACAAGGCACACAGTAAAGAAAATATTACTGGAATGTGCTCAACTTCTCTTCAGCTAGTTCAGTATTTTTGGTCCAAGATTCCATACCTCTACATTCGTTTGTAAAGAAAGGATGTGGTGAACAAATGAATCATGTGAGGACAGCTAGGCACACAGGATGTGCCTCTTGGCATATAGTAGTGGTAAAGGTCACTGTGGACAAGATGCCTAATTCATTAAAACATGCTTGATGCATTCCTATACTAACTAAATATTTTCCACACCTAACATTTCACAATAAAACCCCACTTTTTCCCTATGGAAAAGGTTTTTTTTTTTTTAACTTTATGATGATATTGGATTAATCTAAAATATGGTAGTGTCGGGGTAGTTCTTGACAGTGTAGCAAGTGCGGGGGGGGGGTGTCCAGTTTCCTGAACGAACAAAGACAAAAGTTTGAAAACATGCTAGTGGTTTTTCAAAGATCTTTGGGGCATCGCCCCTTTCAGTGTCTTATATCGGAGAATTATGGTGCACGAAATAGTGATCAAAATCCAGCCCAAATCAGTTGGAAGAGCAAGATGATTGCAGCGATCTCACCCCTCGTCAGGAACGTGTGCAGGCACTGAGTATGCACGCAGTCCATACGCTACATATCTTGACACAGTTGGAAGTGGTTGCATATTTGTTCCTTGCTGAAGAGTCGAGTTTGAGCATCCCTCCCCGGGCCCCCAGTATCAACAGTGTTAATAAATTCATGCCACGCATTCATTTGTGAAGACCCTGTGGTGGGTCTTCATCTTCAAGAAACTGCAGGGCCTTCGTGACACCGAGCGAGCGAAGCTTTAAAGCGCAATAACCTTCCGGGAGTTGTCCTATCAGGACCCATCAGTGCTTCCCCTAGGCCTAGGGCCGCAGGCAGCAGCCCGCACCCCAGCATTGTGTACGGTGCGCTGTCCCAGCTGGAGCCTGGCAGGGCGGAATCGCAGAGCAGCATCCCCGCTGCCCCCACGCGCGACCTTTACTGTTGCATCTCCGACCACCGGAAATCGGGCATAGGCCGCTGGCCCAGGCGCTGCTGGACCACGCGGTGGGAGAATGAGCCGCCATCCCAGGTCTTCTCCGCCGGGGGCTCGGCACTCGCCCACCTTTTCCAAATTTAACCATTACCTAAATCCGAAGGGAAATGAGCAGAACTTTGGGATTGGGTGTCAAGGTATTTTCAGCCTCGTTGGGCGTATTTATCCTCAAGTGTTTCCACAACAAGCTATTTCGGGGCGGCGGGGCAGGTTTCGCTCTGCGGACGCGGTGGCCACCAGCCCGGCTCCAGGCGGGCGACACGGCGGCTCCAGGGTTCACCGCCCGATCCGGGGGCGCGGGGGCGCGGGGCGCCCACTGCAGGAGGATCAGGGAGGCTTAGAGCCAGTCAGTGTCCCCACGCCCGCCGCTCCGGTCAATCTGTGTCCTGAATCTGTGACTTCTCGCTGCGGAAGTCTCCTAGGAGCCAAGAATAGTTCAATTTTCTTTCTAGTCATTTCTTAGTGCTGGAGGATTCAGACCTCTGGGTTCCCCCATAGACGGTCCTGCTGTCCCAAGGCCAGAGAGATGGGGAGGGCTGCCGAGGGGTGCCGGGGGAGCTGGCTGCAGGGACGCCCCCCTCCACTGTCGCCTCCTGACCCCTCGCAAATGAGGCGCCGGTCCTTGTACCCCACTGGGGGATGGGGATAGGTCTTAGGGCTAGCGAGCTCTTCTAACGCTCAGGAAGTGAAGTTTGTGGTTTTAGGGGCTGAGCTCCGTAGGAGATTGAAAAAAAAAAAGAGAGAGAGAGAGAGAGAGACTCATCAGTCTCCCGAAAGCCAGATTCGGTTTGCACATATTCGGGGCGCAGTGCCAGTGCCCTAACCCCACAGGTAGGTGTGCTGAACTTGTGTGCCTCCCGCCCTGGCGGCAACCCTGGCCAGGCACCCACACTTCGGGGACGTCCCCGGGGTGCAGGCAGGTCCCCACCTGCTGCGGGCTGCTGTGCCCCAGGGGCGCGGGTCTCTGGGTTCCGGAACCACCCGGACGGTGGAGCTAGAGACTTGGGACAGGGAGCACGCGGTCCGGTGCGACGGTGGAGCGGGATCCACGCGGGAAGGAGACACCTGGTGGGCTCGCTCGCGGCGGCAGCTGGGCCCCGGCCTCCTGAGCGCCTGGCCTCCCGCGACAGCGTCCCCGGCTGGGTGGCCAGCGGAGGTCTGGGGGCCGAGGTGCCAGCAGCGTGCAGTCCCGCCCCCTGCGCGCCAGCTGCGGCGCGAGGTCGCCTTCCCACGCGCTGGGCCCAAGGCCCGACCATCCCCTACCCCTCCACCCGGAACCAGCCAAGCCCGCGGGGTGCGACAGAGGCGTAGGCGTGTGGCCAGGGTGAGGACGCCACCGTGACTACCCTGTCCCGCGTGGTCGCTCACAGCTCAGACCCAGCGCGGGAGCCGACAGACCTTCTGCTTCCCACCGCCGTGCTCCTGACCAACGCGGGTGGGAGCTGCGAGGCCTTCAAACCTCTTCCCTGTTTCCCTTCTCTTCCACACTTGCTTTAAGAATTGTCTTTTTTCCGGTCTGGTGGCTTGCGCCTTTAAGCCCAGCACTCAGGAGGCAGAGGTAGGCGGACCTCTGTGAGTTTGAGGACAACCTGGTCAACAGAGTGAGTTCCAGGACAACCTGGGCTGAGAGACCCTGTCTCCAAAAGAAAAAAAGGAAGAAAGAGAA